GAGTGTATTATTTTATATGTGCGGGGTAGTTTTTTTTTATGTGTACAGGGGTGAGTGTATTATTTTATATGTGCCTGTGCAGGGGTAGTTTTTTAATGTGTACGGGGGGGAGTGTATTATGTATTGGGCTACATTCACACCTGTATCTTTAGGTGCAATTAGGTGATAGCAGCTGCATGTAAACGCATATACTGTAAAGATATGTGATATGATTACATTGAGTTAGGAATCAGTCACTGGACTCATTGATTGTGCAACCAGGGAGAGTGTTTTCTAACTGCATGTAATCATATCACATACAATTACATGCAGGCATTTACATGCAGCAGCTATCACCTGATCATTACCTTGAATAAGTGACAGTTGCCAGGCATTCCTGCTGCAGAAAAACGCAAGTTCCTGACACAGGAATTCTTAATTGCACCTAAACTTACAGATATGAATAGGGCCTTATTGTGTGTGTATTGGGGTCTGTGGTACCATACCGAATATAATGACATTTTATTTTGATGTACGAAATTTGGCAAGCCGGCCCCCATGGGAGAAAAAAAATGTTGAGTGGCCCCCGAGTCAAATGAGTTTGAGACCACTGCTCTAAGGGTTATTACCTTTTAGCACTTGTTGCACGCTCTAAGGGTTAATACCTTTTAGCACAGCACACTTGATGTTTTAGGTGATTGATGCGCCATGCATACATTTGATACCTTCCTCCTCCCCCCAGTGATCAGCTCCACACTGATCAACACCATCCTGCTGCTCATCCCCCCTGTTACAGCGGCATTCACACTACCCAGCAGGATGCAGCCAATCCTCAAAGACACACCGGTCCTCCACACACATCCATCAGGCGCCACTCTGCATGCCCTGCGGTGTCACAGCAGCCATCTCTCCTCTCTCCCCCCTGCTCCACCTCCCCGCAGCTTCAACAGCAGGACGCGAAGACGCCGGGCTTCCAGCAGACACAGGAGACACACACACTGTTCAGTCCAGTCTCCCAACACGCCTGCAGCAGAACTTTGTTTGACAACCAGCCACAAGTCAGCTTATATATTTTTATATAGTTTTATATTAAACTTTATACAATTCACGTAGTGCACTATCGAGTGTCCCTCGTTTGTGTCCATCTGCTGAAATTTTCTTGATACCACTGGGGAGCGATTCCACCACTGGAGAAGTATGTCCTTATAGTGGAGAAAGAGGAAATCTTTTTCACTGTGGAAGCACCTGGTATCTTCCCACCTGAGATTGAAAAGGGAAATGGCTTTTTCAGACCTTTATAACATAAGGTCATATGGAGAGGTGAGAGTTATTCTATTGGGATTCAAAAGTGGAGATCACAAGGAGCACGAAGGGATTATCTAATCACCAGTTTATTGCATTCACTTTTGTACTGGAGGCACTATTCACTTCATGTTGTATGATATATGCATCACAGTGGACATTTTGTAAAGTGGACTACTATCATCTCATTTTGCTGTTATTATCTTTTAATGGATCATTTTTTCCCACCTGTTTGTAAGCACTTTTAATTGTCACAATTACATATATATTGTATCTAGATATAGAGCACATTTGAGAGCGTGGCACATTACATTTACAATATTGATATTATTTTGGCTTCTCTCTGGAACTAGTGCTTGCTGCTTAGTAAAAGGCTGAGCACAAAGTGCATTGTTTATTTAATGAATATTTAAAAAATTAGATTTTTTTACTCTTACATTTTTCTATTAATAAATCAAACAAATCCTTTATACAAAAATTACAGTATATTACCATTATTTTTTTTATATTTTCTACTGCAACTTTTGTATTTATTCTTTTCACCATAAATTTTTATAATCCTCAGATAAAGGGAAGGAATGTGAAGCCTTCATTAAACGCAATAGGGCTCACAGTCCCCAAATCAAATATGCATTTTGCCTCAATTCTCCACAATTTACCTTTCAAATAGATACATATATTTGGTTCAGAGTCATCTAGATACCAGGAAAAAAACCCAATGAGGATAAACATTCGCGACCAAGACCACCAAAAGATTCATTCCATTGTGGCCACAATTGAATGAATCTTTTGGTGGTCTTGGTTGCCAGTGTTTATCCTGTAATGCCTACAATGAAAGAATTTAGAAATCCAAAGCATAATTCCATAGTACAGATACACTCCATTAATTGTAGTACAACGGGATTAATATACAACGCAAAATGTTCTTGCCCAATGATGTACATGGGCAAGACAATTGGGATGGGCTATGGAACATGTGAATTATATAAATTTAAGAAGAGATAAGCCAATCCCACAACAATTGTGGAAAAACACAATGGAAAAACAGATGATCTAAAATGTTGGGTCCCAGAAAAAGAAATTTGAATTATAAAATGTTGAGAACTGAGGCAAAATGGATATTTGAGGTTTTTTTTTCTATATACATTTTTATTGAAGAAGTATAAAGAACAAACAAACAGACAATACAGACTTGAAAATAAGGAAATACAATGTACACCATGGTGATGGAACATTTTCACAATAATAATCCGGGCAATAAAACTTCACAATTTTACTGCTGCAAACAACCTCTGCTAAGCAGTTGCTAACACACAAAACACCATTGCATATTTGTAGGGGATGGACAAGGAAAAATAACTTCCACATTGCCCGGTACCCATTGCCTTGTGTAGGATGATAATAAGGGAAGACACACTATGAAGAGGGAGGGGAGGAAAGAGAAATGTCCAAGAGAAAAGAGCAGATGTAGAAGAGTGAGAGTGCTATAAAGAGGGCGGGGAAATAGAAGGTAAAATAGACTTAGTCGCAGGCTCTTTAGAGAAAGAAAAAGTCCCACTGGGGACCCCATGTCAATCCTCTCTCACTAGGTAGCTCTCTATCTAAATCGCCATCAATCCATTATAGGCTGCTCAGAGGTCTGGGGTTAACCTACAAAGGAGTAGATAGCAGAACATTGTATTCCTCTCCGCATGTGAACAAATTCCAAGGTGCCCAGAGTCGTAAGTCGAAAGTTCTTCCATCTCACAAATGTGTTTCAACTGATTCAGCCATTCCACAATAATGGGGGGGGGTCAGGTATCTCTCCACAGCCGGGGAATGAGAGATTTTGCCGCATTAATCAAGTGTTTTTGTAATGATTTTGCGGGTCTCCCTTCATCCAGGCCTGAGAGGTGTAACAGGAACACTCCAGGAGTGTATTCCAAAGATACACCTGTAATTCGACCAATCAAACCATGAATCTTTTGCCAGAATGGTTGAAGCAAGATATATGTCCAAAAGATATGTAACAAGAATCCCTGTTCAGAACCACATCTCCAACAGGGCTCAGATAGGGCAATATCAATTTTGTGTAAAATGTCTGGTTTCCTGTACCAACAAGTAAGGATTTTAAAGTTGGCTTCCTGAGTGTTACTACTTACAGAACACTTATGTGCTCCACGACATACCTCTTCCCATGCCTCACCTGAAATACAGGGTTTTTATCAACAGGTGTTGTCCCTGGTGGGGAGCGTCCTAGACAAGCCAATTCCATCAGATCCTGTTCATTGTCTGTTGGGCCTTCCAATACCCCACTTGTCTAAACGCTTTACCAAACTGGCCAATCACATTTTAACAGCTGCTAGATGTTTAATTGCATTGAAATGGAAACAGCTGACTCCAATAATTCTTTAACTTTAATAAAATGTTGTCCCCATGGCAACTCACATCACGGATTTTTGATCCAATCTTACTATACTTACCCCTATGGGCAGTCTACAGGTAGGGAGCAGCAGACCTCTTCTTGTTCTTTCCACCTCCTCTCTGTCTTGTCATCTTTCCTATTTTTTATTGCCACTTTCCTCTAACTTCTTTCTCTTATTGCTTATTTATTTGAAAGGTTCATATCATGGTTTGTTTGAAAATACAACACGTTCTATACATCACGGACTGTTACTATTCCATGTCTCCCTGCACTTATGATACTCATAGTGATAACATTAGTGGTGTGCTCATTCCTATCTGGAATGCTATGTGATTTTTTTGTACTTGAACAATTGTACTTTTACATGTGTTATGCTGCATATTTTGTTATTCAAATTTCATTAAATAAAGTTATAAAAAAATGTTTTAAAACCCCCAAAAAAACTTACAGTCATTGGTGGTCAGTGGCACTTTAAACCCCCTTCCCACTTTTAAAGAAAACCAATTCCACGGCAATGGGTGGTCAGAGGCATCTCACCTTAGAGCCTGCACAGCCCCTCTGAGACACCGCACAGCCCACAACAGACCCCACACGGCCCATCTGAGATGCTGCACAGTCCACCAGAGACCCTGGAGACATCGAACCGCCACCCCGGAGCAACACAGTGTATGAAGCTTTATATTATTCTGCTTTGCTGTACAATGTATTGCTGGAATGTGTAGTCCTCTATAGCTGATGGTATAATATACAGCACAATGTACCATCAGCTGTAGAGGAATACAAATCCCAGCAATACACTATAGAGCACCATGTGTGGGAAAGTGCAGGCTTACCTGAGCAGTCTTCCAGCAACTTGTTTCTGAGATCGGGCCTGTCTATCGGCGGCTGTCATCCGCCCACACCTGCTCCTCCCCAGCAATACATTGTACACTGTATGTATAATGTTTTGCTCTTCTATAGCTGGTGGTATTCCGCATTGCGCTGTATAATGTATTATTGCTGGGTGTTGTTGTAGTCCTCTATAGCTGGAGGTATTCCGCATTGCGCTGTATAATGTATTATTGCTGGGTGTTGTTGTAGTCCTCTATAGCCGGTGCTTAATGTATTTTATTTTTTAATTTTTGATCCGATTAACCGATTAATCGAACTTAATAATCGGCTAACTAATCGATTTTGAAAATAATCGTTAGCTGCAGCTCTAATGGTTACCCATGTGCTTTTTCTGAAATGTGGTTTATACATAGTGATCACCTTTCCACTTTTTTTTTCTTCAATATAGCAGTATTGAGGGGTTTAAACATTCTTAAAAACTTACCTTGCAAATGGAATGTAGGAGATGCTGTACCTGCAATAAATTAAAAAAAAAAATCTTAAAGTTTGTATATACAAGGAAAAAGTACAGAAAAAAATATTTTTTTTTAATGTTATAAAACACAAATACAAAGTAAAATGTTGTGTTAGCTTTATCCAATAACTACTGGCTGCTTCCTTAAAGCGGACTTTTACCCATATCTTTAAAATAAAAACAAACACACTTTTAGAAATATTTAGTAATGACAATCTACAATCATATACTTTTAGATAATTGCAGGCTTTGTATTCTTTGACTATGCAATTAGACATGTGACTAGGACATGTGACCATGGACATCATCTCAGAGGAGGAAAATGCCTTTCCTTGAGATCTCCTGAGATTACAGATGAGATTTCCCAGCAATGCTCTGATGATGACATGGAAATCCCAGTGTGCATTGCGTTGGCAAACTGCAGTAATTTGCACTTTCAAAGCAGGAAGTGAATGCTCTGCAAGTGTAAGTATTTCTTTTTTTCTTTTTAAATCCGATAATTTTTTATTGAACATTTTCATACAAAAAACAATCCACATATGCAAGAAATCAAATGTCAGAGCGTTGCAGAGACATATTAAAATAAAAGAAAATAAACTACAATACGAGACACAAACCAAAGTAAAACAAACCAAAAAAAGAAATAAAAAATAAGACAATACAGAGGCGTACATACAATAGCATCGCAATGAGCTGTCCACAATGGAACTTCCCCACACAGCTTACAACCGCCCAGATAACCAACCAGCTCAGTCTCACAGATGATTCTAGATATTCCTCCCAGTCCCAGTTTCCATCACATATACAGCCCGTAGCCACAAGCCAAGCCTCAAGACAGCTCGCCCTCCCTAACCTGTACTCCCATGTGTCGCCCGTCCTCTATAAGACAGCCAGGCGGCCCACAATTTCTCAAATTTGTTCAGGCTCCCTCTGCTTATATGTGACCCTCTCAAACTCCACCATTCTGTCCAGTTCTTCCAGCCATAGCTCCAGTGTGGGGGGGGGAGGAGGAAACCCACTTCCGCACCACCAACCTGGACGCAGTAAACAGGGCTCTCTTTATAGCAAGCGATGTGTGAGGAGTCATCTCCGGTGCCTCTAGCAATCCAAGAAGGCAAACCAGTGGGGTATTACTCAAGGAGGATTCAAAGACAACGTTAATGACCTCTAGAACCTTACCCCAATATCTTACTAGTTTGGGGCATCTCCAAAGGAGATGGATTAAAGAACCCTGGTGGTGGCCACACTTCGGGCAATTTGGGTCAGCTCTGTACCCAATACGGAACACAAATTCAGGGGTTCTGTAAATTCTATGAACAATGAACAATTGCGTCAGCCTATGCGTGGGTGACAATGGCACCTGTTCAACACCCTGAAGAACATCTTCCCAATCCTCATCTGACATAGTTCCCAGGTCTGACTCCCACCCCTCCCTGCACTTCAATGGGTTAAGAACATCAGACTTACGGAGGAGGTGGCTGTGCAAAAAGGAGATCACTCCCTTGGTGTGAGTAGCTAATAACACCGCATCCAATGTTGGAGTAGGAGAAAACCTAGGGGGGGTCATGCCCAAACTGCGCCCATAGAGCATGTTGCACCTGGAGGAACTGAAACTGGCACCTGCGAGAAAGCCCAAAGGTGGAGGCCAGATACTCAAAGGAACACAATTCCCCCACAGGGTACAACTGAAAGACTGATACAACCCCATTACGGGTCCAGTCCACCGTACCCTGGAGGGGAAGAAGCTCCGGAAGCTTGCCATTTTGCGACAGAGGAGTGTAACGGGTTAGTTGGTCCACCCCCAAGGCTCACCTGGCGGTAGCCCAAACCTGCCCCATTAAGCACATCGTAGGAAGTGCAGAGTGTCTCTTAACATACATGTCACTCTCCAGGTAACACAAAGGGTTCAACCCGTGAAACAAATGCTTCAGTAGTACAAGGGACTGTGGGGGATCGTCCTCCACAGCCCAGGCAGCCAAATGTTGCACCTGTGAGGCCACAAAGTAAAACCAGGGGTTCGGCAAAGCCAGCCCCCCATAAGCCTTTGGACGCTGCAGGACATCAAGACGCAGCTGGGGGGATTTCATCCTCCAGACCAGGTCCCTGAATATCCCGTCGATCAAGCGGAGGGTCTTTTTTGGGATCCACATCGGAGAGTTATGGATGACATATAATAATGTAATGTAATTTTGATGAAATTCACCCTGACAGCCACCAAGAGCGGTAATTTAGCTCAGGAAGCCCATTGAGACCTAAATTTCGCCAGAAGGGTTGAGCAAATTCAGAGAGAGGTAGTCAAGGGGAGAAGCCGTTAGTTGTATGCCCAAATAGGTAATGGCCGTCTGGACCTGCAGATGAGACAACTCAGGAGCCAAAGGCGCAGACAGAGGGTCCAGCGGAAGCAGATTCGACTTCTCCCAATTGACGACCAGGCCAGAGAATTTGGCAAACCCAGCTAAAAAGGATATAGCATTGGAGAGTGAAGATCGTGTATCCGCCAGAAACAAAAGGGTATCATCCGCATACAGCACAATCTTCTCCTCCAAGGCCCCCCTCCTAAAACCCACAATGTCTGTGGATTGCCGAACCAGAACCGCCAGAGGTTCAATGGCCAGGGCAAACAGTAAAGGGGACAACCGACACCCTTGTCTGGTGCCCCGCTGCAACATGAAAGCCTCAGACAGGGAGTCATTAATCTTTATTCTGGCAGAGGGGTGATGATATAGCAAATGGACCCACCTAAAAAACCGTGGCCCAAACCCAAATGCTGACAGGACCGCCCACAGATAACTCCACTCTACACTGTCAAATGTCTTGGCTACATCCAAGGCCAGCAGTGCCCTGTTGCCCGTATTGTCAACCGGGATCTGCATGTTCAAAAACACTCTGCGTATATTAAGAGCGGTGATTTATTAGGGATGAAACCTGACTGGTCCGAGTGTATAACTGAAGCAATCTTTTGGGACAACCTGTTAGCCAGAACCTTAGCCAACAGCTTGATGTCTGAAATAGGCCTGTATGATTCTGATAACAGCGGGTTTTTGCCCTTTTTTGGCAGAACAATAATTGTGGCTTTGTAGATAGTATCCGGCAGCCTTCCCACCAAGAAGGCCTCATTAAGAGTGTCTAACAGGGTAGGAAGAAGTACCGCTGCATGGGTCTTATAGACCTCAATAGGGAGTCCATCCGGCCCAGGGGCCTTTCCATTCGGGAAACTAGCCATGGCCAGCTACTCCATAGTGATGGGGGCCTCCAAGTCCAACCTGTCAGCCACCTCAAGGGAAGGCATAGGGATGCTACCCATTTAGTTGTCCAGCTCTGAAGCGGTATAGGCCGCCCTGGTCTTGTATAAGGAGGTATAAAATCAACATAATTAGTCCGATATCATCTCTTGATCTGAGTGAGTAGACCCCTGCGGGTCAGAGGCAGCCCTAATGTAAGTGGTGGGTTGCTGAGTCCTAGCTATCTGAGCTAAAAGCTTGCCCGGCGCATCTCCCTCCACCCAGAACACCCGCTTAGAGAAAAAAACAGTTTATGCTGGGACTGTACTGACAGCAAAGCAGAGAGGGTTACTAATGTACTCCCTCTCGGAATCTGCCACCCTCTGACAGGCCTCCTGCATATCCCGTCTAGACCTAGATTTAGCAGAGCAAATGTTTTTAAGCAGAAGACCCCTAACATAGGCTTTCAAGGTATCCTAGACCACCCCCACAGGTGCAGATGGAATGTTAACCGACAGAAAAAATGAAACCTCAGTCTCCAGTGAGGAATGATCTGGGAACAGGGTCAGCCAGTGGGGGTGCAGACGCCGAGGGAGCATCGAGCGGGGCCTATCAGGGGTTAAATGTGTCTCCTGCAGACAGATTATGGAAGGGGAGGTACGCTGGAAATGGCCTAAACAGCGTTTCTTTTCACCGTGTCTCCCAGACGTTCCAGGAGACCAGATTAATTGAGCTGGCATTGCAAATATGAGGCATACATTGTACAACAATGAGCAATAACATGGTTAAGTAGGGACAAGTAAGCAGAAATACCACCGACTGTAGCTGCACATTGTATAACGCCTCGATAAAACACAAACACAGAGGAAATGTAATAATGAAAAAAAAGGTCCAAAAAAAATAAAAGAAAAAACATCCCGAAACAACAACAGGAAAAACTAAGAAAACTGTCCACGCAGGGAAACCTTCGGGGAAAGGTAACAGCAGCCCTGAACTCCAGGGACACCCCGGGGCCTGTAGACAGCCGTGACCCCTGCAAGGGAGCGGGAGTCAAACAACCTGAGAGGAACGCTCCTCTCTCCACCACATCTGGGATAAACAGGTCACCTTGCTAGAGAAAGTATGTTGCTTGCAGGGAACCGGAGAAAATACTGGAAACAAAGAAATTGCAGGCTGAAATCCATACGGAGAAAATCAGGTATCCAGACCCTTGCGGTTGGCCACCTTATCCAGCCATGAGGAAGCCTGTGCCGGTTGGTCAAAGAAGTGGGTCTCACCACCCGCCACCACTCGTAGCCTCGCCGGGTATATCATGGAATATGCGAGGTGCAGCTGTCGCTCACCCTGCCCTCCAAGGCCGCAGTGCGTTCCAGCACCTTTTGCAAATCATGGCGTATAAATGAAATATCCACTCTCATCCCCTGCACCTGATCAGTGAGGGCAGACAGTGCGGTGTTAGACAATTGAACTGCGGCATAAACATCTGCAAGGGTGGGCTCAGCCGCCTTAAGCTTTGTCTAGGGGGGCTTCAGTCCCTTAGCAGCTTTGGACGTCATGCTTTCAGGCAACAAAGGGTCTGCAGGGCCGTCTGAGTCAGATAACAGGGGGTCTCCCATGGACTCTCTGGAGGAGCCACGTTCCCCCTGATAGGAGAGCTTCCGCTGTTTGGGGGTGTCAGGGTGATGGGCAAAGCGTCCTAAACGCGCTGCAGGGTCCTTATGCTTATCCCCTGCCCCTTTGCACGGGGTCCGGATCACGGCCTGTAACCCGCCGCCATCT